ACACACAAACACACACACACACACACACACACACACAGAGGCACCCACACAAATACATACATTTATACTTATACACCGCACAACAAACAAACAAACAAACAAACAAACAAACAAACAAACAAACAAAAATCAAACTGACCAAACATGTGCATTAACTATGTAAATCCTCCGTCGGATAAAGACAGGACAATAAAGACAAGAAAAAGTAATGTGTCATTCTAAGCTTATAATAGTATCGGATAAAGACAGGACAATAAAGACAAGAAAAAGTAATGTGTCATTCTAAGCTTATAATAGTATCGGATAAAGACAGGACAATAAAGACCATAAAGACCAGTGCGTCATTCTAGGCCTACAATCTAACAAGACAAATCCCATGACGTCACACAAACCACTTGCCTGTTCCCTGCAGCAGCACTATCACCACCACCAAAACAGCTGCTATTGCAGCTTTTGCCATCCTGAAAAATATGTGAATAGATTAGGTAAAAGAGCAGTTAGTTTTAGAAAGAGATTTACGGCACTTGCAACACAATAAGGTCATATAAGGGCCGAAGGTTAGAGGTGTTACAAGAGAGTAACAAACGCAAAGAAGAAGGAGAGATAAAAACGATAGATGTTTGATAGGAAAGAAAAAGCAAACCACACCACAGCACCCGCCAACCCAAAGAGATCTAAGAAGTATGACGTTTTAGGTTCGAGGAGAGTGAAGAAGGATACCGGGGTTACAGAAAGGGTACGAATGGTGGAGAAGAAAAAAAAAGTTGGAATAGATGCTGTAGAGAGAGAGAGAGGCAGAAGAGTGGAAACCATTGAGTTTTTGTGATCTTTTTTTTTAAAGAACAGGAACGGGGGTCAAACCCTTTGGGGCGGGCACACAAGGAGTGACAAAAAGACTTTTTTTTAAACCGAAAGAAAAGCTGAGGAAGAAAAATACCCTTCTCAAAACTGACCACTGTCAAACTTCTTTTCTTTCAAATTCAATACTATGGCGCCTAAAGCAAAACCTGTAGGGCTGTAGAATAAGACGCAAGCCGTGTGTAGTGATACATTGCTACAAAACTTGGTGAGAAGGCTACACACCAAGCAGCGATGGTCTCTTTCTACTACCGGACCTGGGAGCTGAAGCGACAGAATGCGTTCCCCGTCTTTTATGGAAATTCATCGGGTTTTAAGGCTCTTTAAATAACCGGGACTTCGAAATAAAACTACGGACTCTTCCGATCTTCGGATCACGTTAGTTGTTAAATATCTTGTCATGCGTAGAATAGGGATTGTGGACAATCGAATTTAGGGGTTTGCCAAACGGATTTTGCTTCGACACAGCTGAAAAACCAAACGTAAGCACGCTCTTACAGTGTGCAGTACTTCCTGTACCCTTGGTTGTCACAGAGGACAACGAGAATTCCATCTTTTTTAAAATCTGTGTTGTTGTTGTGTTGTTTGTTTGTTGCTGTTGTTGTTTTTTTTCTTTGAGGAGGGG